AAAAAAAAAAAAAATAAATTTTTTTCGATCGAAATTTTTTTAAAAAAAACGTACCGATCGAACGAAGAACCCCTTGCCGCCACGTTTAGATGGTCCCGACATTTTTTTGGAATTTTTTCGGACGTCAAACGAGCGAAAAAGAGAGAGAGAAAGAGAGTAGAAGAGAGAGAGAAATGAGGTGGAGGGCAAAAAAGTATTTTGGGGGGCGGTAATAATCGAAAAGGGAGCGGTGTTTAGCGTTTCACTATTTTTTTGAGCTCTTTTTGTCCTATTACTTGTTTATGTCGTGTTTGTAAAAGAATAAATTCACTCAAATTGACTTAATGTGAGTTTTTTAATTAAGTAGTGTAATTTTTTTTTTAAAAAAAAAATTGTATAGTTAGTTGTTAGTGGGATTTTGAGTTATATTAAAATAATATTTAAAATAAAATAATTAAAGTTGATTTGATATAAAAGTAGGAGATAAGTTATATGAAGTGATGGTTAGTTAAAATTATATGACCCAAGAGCGCTTGGATGAGATGACTTGGGTCTCTTCCAACTTAATCAGTGGTCTCGTGTTCGAGCCCTGAGAATGCAGCAGTGTTAAAACTCTTGAGGGAGAGCTTTGCCGCCCTTGTGGTCCTACCCGGCTTGATTCCGGATTAGTCGGTTCCACTGTGGATCCGGAAACCGGAAGGTCTCTGTACCAAAAAAAAAATTATATGAGTGAATAAATAGTTAATTAAAGTTGATATGATGAGTAAAAATAATTGGTTGTTATTATATAATTATATTAATAATATTGAGAATAGTGAGTTTGAATCAAAGTTGATTTAAATTTTGAGTTTGAATTAATTTGAATTACTCAATTTCTTTCAGTCAAATTGCTCATCCGACTTGTTCGTAGCAACAATCAAGTGGCGGACATTTTCACTAAAGGATTACTCGAACCCATCATTTTCGTGGCGCTGTCTCCCCCTTCTCTTGAGCGCTTAATCGAGGAATGACTGTCTGTTAATGAAGCGATTACCTTTTTCATTTCGTCATATGTAATTAGAGATCGTTGCCCATCACTCAGCGATTGGGGGATAGCAACAATCTGCAGGTTCGAGAGACCTATGTAGGAGGAAGAGAAGCACGACTATCTTATACAATAAGTAGGGCAAGAATGCCAAATTTAGCCGATTAAATGCCCATATGAGGTCAATTATATCGAGCGAATTTCAGCTTTTATATTACTAATAAGATTAAATATCATATATAAGATATGAAATATTAATGTTACTAAAATCAAATATCAGAGGCAAGTTTCCCTTGAAATATTTTCACTGGCGAAGCTTTATTAGATCCAATCTCAATACTTGGATCTATGAAAATGTAAAATGTGTGATAAATGAATTTATTCAAAAGTATAAAAATGTAAAACGTGTAGTAAGTTAATTTAATTAATAGTCAAAAAGAAATTGCTAGCAAACATGCATTTGACTTCTATTTGTTTATCAATCATAAAAGAACATACAATTCAAACTCTTCATGGACTAACTAATATTTTTAGTTTGTCGATGAAAAGAAGAAAACCAAAGCTATTATTCTTTTGGACTGTGGTGGGAATTTATAGATATAGTTATCAAAACTCATCACTAATAAGTTTTAAGAAACAAAGGCTACTAATCTAAACTTTAATAAGTCTTTTGTAGCCATGTGATTATAACAACCAAAACCGAACGTTAGGTGATGGAATGAACCCAACTAAAAAATTATTCACAATTTTGTGGGTTATTGTCTAATCTTCTATTTTTTTTTTTCTTCTTAATTTTTTTTAAAGAAAAATGGACCTTTTAGATTAGACAGTATATTTTTTAGGTGAAAATTTACAACTTAATGTATAAAAAAAAAAAAAAAAATACATCACTTGTAGTTTAATACATTGAGTACAAATTATAATACATCCAACAATTGATTTTAACACACCATATGCGATCAATGTATTGAAAAATCACAAGATTATCACATCATGATATATGGCGGCGTGCTTCATGAGTTGACTGTGAAACCTCAATAAGCATATCACTGTCCATGAAAAAGATATCTAAAAGTCTTGGCTCAAATTATAATTACTGTTGTAGATTATTATTATTATTATTATTATTATTATTATTATTATTATTATTATTATTATTATTATTATTATTATTATTATTATTATTATTATTATTTTTATTATTATTATTATTATTATCATCTTAGATAATAAGTTAAAAATAAATAATATTATTAGAGAGCCCTGTTGGACAATTTAGGAATAAGGTTTTGAAGTCTTATTTAAAGTGCTCATCATTTATTGTTTTAGGCAGTTGATTATGAATAAAAGATGAATTGATATTGTGAGTTTTGTGTGTTTTACGAGAGAGTATCTCGTTTACTCGTTTTATCCTTCCCACTCGTACGCTTTCCCTACATCAGTTGGTATCAACAGTCAGTACGATTCGCGATGTCGCCGGGACGACTAGATGCCGCAAACAAACAACGTGATGCAATCTTCAACGATCGGTTTCAACAAATTGACTACCGATTTCAAGAGTTGGACGTGCGTTTCACGGATTGGTTTGCCGATCTTTTGACGGGGATCGAGAATTTACATTTGACGCTTAACAACGTGGTTGTTTCAGAATTGCAAACGAACCGCGATGTGGTTGTGGGCCGTGGCTTTCGCGGGGGAGACAAAGGCGGTTGTGGGGGACGCAACCATGTCGGGGCGCCCCGGCGGCGGTCCCCGCCACCTCTGAAAGGCTTTGTGGACGGCGACGATCAACGCAGCGACATGGGCTGGCGCGAGGAGGCAGCCTTCGTTGGCGGAAATCGTGCCCGACGCGATTGGGATTTGATCGCAAATTTGGTCAATGGGAGGGCCCGTTTCGCGTTGACATCCCTGAATTCGACAGTGAGCAAGTTGACGGGCCATTGTACGACGATCCTCCTATTTTCGATGAGGAGCCTCTGGTGACGGAGATATATCTTTGCAGCAATATGGGTCCCACGTGGGACGTCACAGAAATTGAGCCTTTGACCCCGATTTTTGGAGTATCTTGGCCAACGATGGTTTTTCTGAGCCGAAGCCGAGGCTCAATAACTGGTGGGAATTTTTCGATTGTCTATCCTGAAGTCTTTCAACAACGGGATGCTTGGCTGTATTTATGGATTTAAGTGCGGTGAACGATATGGTATGTTTGGTGTTAATTCTGTTGTGTGGGTTATGCATATGGAGGTGTGTACATGTGCATCTGCAGTAATTCAATCCTTGCCCATGATTATGTTTGTCATCGGGATTGTTGGACGACATTCATCCTTCGTGTTCGACCGAGGGAAACGACGGGGGTTTCCTACCATGAGTTCGACACCACCCGCCGGCCACAAGAGCGCATCGCTTCGAGGGCGAAGCATTCCGAACCGGAGGAGAATGATGTAGATTATTATTATTATTATTATTATTATTATTATAGATATCTTAGAGAATAAGTTAAAAAATAAATAATATTATTAGAGATCTTGCATTTATTAGACAAGTTAGGATTAGGGTTTTGGAGTCTTATTTAAAGAGTTCATTATATATTGTTTTAGGCAGTTGATTATGAATAAAAGATGAATTGATATTGTGAGTTTTGCGTGTTCTACAAGAGAATATTTCGTTTACTCGTTTTATCCTTCCCACTCGTACGCTTTCCCTACATCAATTACATAATTTTTACGGCACTTCCGCAACAATAAATATATATACCAGTCTTCAAAATTCAAAGGATTTGATGTAAGGAAGTCGCGGGGATGAGTCGCGGGGATGAATATGACAAGATGTCATATAGCATGAAGAAACATTATAAATATTGCTCTCTAGCACTTGCAGGTTGTTTCAACTTTCAAATCATCATTTGTTTAATAATTATTATCCAAATAGGACTTTCCTTTTCAAGACTTACTAATAATCTCATTTTTATCTTTTAAGAAAGATTTTTTTATACCATGTACAAAACAACACCATTTTTATGCCCATTGTAGACGATGGATGGGTTTTTCTTCAACTCACACCATAACCCCATCATCAGCGGTGGTACTCTCTGGTGCACGTTGATCCTCTGCAGCAGCTGCTGCATCTCTATCTTTTCTACCCCCTCTCCCAAAGAAGAGCCTCCCTCTAACTCCCGATTTCGGTGCACCCGCAATGTGCTTAACTGGGAGAGCTGTCTCGATTGCTTCCACGTATAACACCTTCACCAGATTCCTAAAGCGTCTTCTGAAAGTGGGCAATCGGGACATGGACCCCACAATTCCTTGTACCCTAAAAGTTGGTCAAATACATTTACATACAAGATTAAGTGAGGCTTTTGGGGTTTCTATTGCAATTAATTAATCTAGCTCATAGAGATAAAGAAAATTTGATAATTTATTTGTACTGACCTCCTAATTATGGCTTGTAGCTGTGCTCTTCTGACTTTGTCAGTCGAGGGGAAACAGGCCTCGTCCCAATCTTCTGGTCTCTCGTTCTTACCACCTATGACCAACTTTTTCAGGCAAACTTCCTCGGCTTCTTCCAACTCTAGTCCCTTTATTTGCTCCTTCATAGTGAAAAGTGGCCCCATGAACCACTCGAGCATTTTATCCCTTGGTAAGTTGACTCTTGTTAATTCTACTTGTTCGGCTACCAAAGTTGGCATCGGTTAATCACCAATTTACCACATGTTAAATAATCAACAGAACGAACAAGGATTGAAAAACTTACAAAGTATTAAACCAGATGAATTGTATTTTGCCGAGGTTAGGAGACACTGCATAATGGACCAAGCGGGTAGTTTGACGGCAAGCTTCTTGCAGTCTCCTTTTAACATAATCTCCTGAATATCTTTACCGTTTATCAGCCCTTCTCGCAACAGAATTTTTCCATTCACCTCACAAGACTTGAAGAGCCAATCCCAAACCTAAACTTATCCAATAATTAATTACTATCTGCTGCAGACAAATTTGTAAAAACGAGTGTTCGTGAAGTCAAGGAAGAAGAAGAAGAAAAAACCTGCATTGGTGTATATTGCTGAATGGCTTGTTTAAGAGTTCTTGATCCTTGTGAAACTAGCTTTGAAGCGTGCGAGGCTTCTCTCTCGTTTTTGTTATCGAGTGACAAAATTTTCTCCAGTCCATCTGGAGGCCTCGTTTTTCTACGGTACTGAGGCCTGGCTGTCAAAAGGATTCATTGAGTCAAGATTGCTGATCGTAATAAGAGACTCACCTTACAATTATCAACAGAACTACAAGAAAATAACATTTAAATTGAACATTGAGAACAGAGTACGAAAAAAAAAAAATAAAAATAAAAAAAAATCTAGTCTTAGTTTCTTAGATGATACCTGGGAAAACATGACCCTTCCGTTAGATACAGTAAATCATTCGCGTACTCGTCGAACAAAGAAATTGCCGCCACAATGTAGGCAAGTCCCATTCGAAGTGAATCTTCCTATATATGTGCTTATAGTCAAAGTTACAGATAAATATAAATAATAGAAAATAAACATCAGCCAAGAGGGTGAAAAACAAAAGGAGAACTACTATATGCACCTGGTAAACGATGACTCCGGCATAAAGTCCAAGAAAAAAGCTAGCCAGAAATGATGCCAACACAGCTCCTAAAACCGCTAGAGGCCAAAGAAGAATAGCTAAGCCAGCAAACGGGACACATACAGTTTCCAAAAATGGACCTTCCCTGCCAATTAAGTCCTCGAATAACCTCTTCCAACCTCTGAACAACATATATGGACTTTTCCAAAGAGAGACTATCGTGACGAGAGGAACATCTACAGGTATAGCAAGTAGAGAAACCAAGATACAGCTCGGGAGTCTTGCTAACCTAAAAGAGAGAACAGATAGGTGCCAAAAATATTTATCCTTAAAAGATGAAAAAAAAAAGATGTAAGTGAATTAACTTTTTAATGAGTTTTCTCACTTTATGTCAAGAGGTATCTCATTTTCATGCACTTCCTCACTCAGTTCGTCCATGAAGGAGAAGTAAGAATGGAAGCAAAAATCTGTAAAATCGCAAACTACCGTGCAGCTGCCTTCGATAGTGGACCAACAACCATCCTGCAATTATCATTATCTTTTTTAGGATGAGAAATGACATGATATTTTAATGTAGTAAGATGGACGATGTTATGATTTCTTATTTTATCATGCCTTCAGATATTCAACATGAATTGAAAACAAAATTGAAAAAAAAAAAGAAGAAAAAAAAGAAGTGGCATGTTCTAGAAGGGTGTCTTATGCAACTATCTGATATATTTGGAGTTGAAGGGTTTCATCGACAGAATTTTGTTATTTTGAAACAACTCTTTCTTTCCTCCTTTTTATTTATTTATTTTAAATCAAAGACAGATTTAGTTTCTGACTTACCACAAAACAGTGGTACCATTTGTCGGTCACATTCTCTCCCACAGCCTCAAATGTGGCAATCAACGGGGCAAAAAAGCCGTACCCTATCCCTCCAAGAATGCTTCCGATGATTGCAATGACAGGCCACAGGATTAACGGCACAGGCAACAAAAACAATGCGAGGATCTTCAAAATCCAGCCGAGCCTTTTGGTTCTGCTTTGCAAACACCAGCACAAAAACATAATGGCTCACGAAATTAATACACATGAAAGTAGACGGAAGGCTAAAACGGTTTTAAGAAAAGGACCAAAGACGACATACTTAGCCACACAATAGTAAGTCCATAGGAAATGTGCCGTCCATAGTCCAACAACAACGGCTGAATTTCCAACCATTATGATGGCTAATGTTACCGGACATATAATCAGCCCTGCATAAGACATAGTTATATTAACACAAATAAGTTCCGAAATTAATGCTTCGAATCCGATTCAGACGCTGAGAATGAGATAACTCCAAACTGCTACATGTTATGATCCTTTCCCTTCAAAATTTAATTCAAGCTAGCGTTCCTACATATTCTCTTACCTTCCAAAGACCAATATACAGCCATAAAATCAAACACCTCATCCAAACCACACAATTGAACACCACTTATACTTCACCTCAGTCAAAATTACCATGGCAATTCCCAAAATATAAAGTTAAAACATGAAACAAGCAAATCAAAGCATAAACCATTAATGAACCTATGACCTAACAGGATGATAGAATAGAATACATAAAGCGAGGAACGAAGTCGTTTACCAACTCGTAAGCAAACAAACATAAATTGTCTAGCAAAATAACATCATTATTAGGCTATCTCTTGACCCAAAATTTCATTCCAAGTTCACAAAACTTAAAAAAAAAAAAAAAAA